TGTTAAATGTTTAACCCAACCTTCTGGGTAGTAACCCAACCGCTGGGTCAAAACAACCCAATTGCTGGGTTTGTCCCTATTTTACCCAGCACTGGGTTGTATTTAACCCAGCATTTTTTAGAGTGTAACACGTTAATAATTCCACCTATAGTATGCAATTTTGCATGGTTAGTGAATGAAACCCACTGGGTCAAAGTGTCAGAATATTGATTTGTTTTCAACAGGACTGTCTGTTTAAGCGACAAACGCTTGAAAACCGTGATTATTATGCAGTTACATTTAGCCTATAGTGCAGAGATGACAATACCTTTAACTTTAAATCAGAATCTCTTCAAGGAAAAGTTATAATATTTGCCTCTTTCTTTAGGTCAATGCTGTTCCCCTCAAGTCCTCATGGGTGATGACCTGTGCATATGCTCCTTCTGGAAACCTTGTGGCCAGCGGCGGTCTCGACAACATGTGTACAGTCTACAACTTGAAGACACCTGTAATCAAGACGGTGAAAGAATTGGATGCTCACACAGGTATATAAGTACAGAAGTCAGGCAAGACACTTTACTTTCTTGTATACTTGTTAGTAAGTGTCAGTTATGTTATCTTTTTTTCATAGGTTACTTGTCCTGTGCACGCTTCCTCAGTGACACAGACGTTCTAACCGCCTCTGGTGATACCACATGGTTTGTGCATGTAGTATTTACATTTAAAGGGACAGTTCACCCAATTACTATAGTATATTAACTAGAATCTTTTTCAAGTGTTTTTACACTTCTTCTTTTTATAGTGTTCTCACAAGTCTCCTTTCATTGTAATTCCACGGAAACAGAAGGCAACTGCATTGTACAAAATGTTGTGTTTCATAGAAAATATGAGTTTTGAAATGACATGAGGGTGAATAACGGATGACAGAATTGTATTTTTTGCCGAACTATCGCTTTTCAGAACCGAATCACGAAAATTGTAGCAGCTAGAAATTGAAATAAATGAAAAATAGTTACAATATGGCTATGTTCTCAATATACCATACTATTATAGCTTGCATGCTATATTTGCCAAACCATGCACTATACAAAAGAGCACACAGCATGTCCCACAATGCAAAGAAGCAAATCTTCAATTGTGATATAAGCATCAGAAACAATATTTTTATATTAATCTTTTTCCCTTTTTTTATCACTTTCTGTACTCATTATTTGTTAAAAAAAACTAATAAAAAAGAGACAATATTGGATTAAAATGCAAAAATAACTGGATGCTACTCATATGCAAATTGAACATCATAGCATACATGTTTATAATGAATAATGCCTACTATTTCACTCGCAGTAGGCCATGCAATGCACTGCAACTTTCATTCAGCCAAGCAACTGATTAACATATCCATTAAAAACCAGCTACAACTTCGTTAAATGGTGCCATTCTCATCTAACAAAGTCTAATTAGGCTATAAATATAGCAAGCATCGCCACTTTTGCTGATAGGTAAGATTAAAGCTTTTTCACAATGCTTTGCAGCTTGTTGAGGAGAGTTGTGCTTTTACTTTATAATACGTTATTCAGCCTGGCAATGGATAAAAATCCCATAAACAGTCATTAAGGGCATCACCACTTTTTTTGTTACAGTTTTGTTTATTTCCCTCCCATTTTTCTTCCAGTGCATTGTGGGATTTGGAGACTGGAAAGCAGAAGACGGTTTTCCTGAACCATGTTGGTGACTGCATGTGTCTGTCTCTGTCTCCGGACATGAACTCCTTTGTTTCCGGTGCTTGCGACTCTCTGGCCAAGCTGTGGGACATCAGAGACGGCCAGTGCAAGCAAACCTTCCTGGGTCACACAAGTGACATCAACGCCATTTCAGTGAGTTGAACATGAAATGTTTGATGCAGTACCGCGAAAATTCAAAAGAGGGCATTGCAGTTATTTTTTGGCTTCCTCATTAATGAAGCCAACCTTATAACAGTTTCAAAGATTTGAGACTTTCGCATTAAATTTAAGAACAAAGCACATAAATGGAAACCAAATGGATTCACCAAACGTCCTCTTTCTTCAGTTCTACCCTAGTGGCAATGCAATTATCACCGGCTCTGATGACTGCACATGCAAAATGTATGATCTTCGTGCCGATCAAGAATTGATCACTTACCAGGATGCTGCCCTGAACAGCGGCGTAACATCACTGGCTCTATCCATTTCTGGCCGCCTCATCTTTGCTGGCTATGACGACTTCAACTGCAATATTTGGGACTCGCTAAAGGGCGAGAAAGTGGGTGAGTTGCAAGAAAGGAGTCCCAGGATGGAGTGAATCATTAATGCTGATTAAGCAGGGACAAAGTCCATTTGAAGCATGTCATATCACTCGACAGCCGTCTTGGCAACTCCACCAAACAGCTGTTTTCTATGTAGCCAATTTCTGAGTATTAAAACACTCTTCTGGCATGGATGTGAGATTTGTTGGTGTTAGTTGAGGAAGTCTTCTACTTACAGGAACAGTTTTGCTGAAAATGTACTCACCCTCAGGCCGTCCAAGATATAGTTTGTTTTTCATCTCAATAGATTTGGAGAAATTTAGTGGACACCAGTGGATCCTCTGCAGTGAATGGCTGCCGTCAGAGCCCAAACAGCTGATAAAAACATCACAACAATACACAAGTAATCCACACCACTCCAGTCCATTAATTAACGTCTTGTGAAGTGGAAATCTGTGTGTTGTAATAAAAATTTTTAAAATCCATCATCAAGTATTGCTTGCTCCGGTGAAAAAGTAATCTTGTCTGAATCAGGAGAGAAATATGCACAGATCAAGCACTGTACAAGCGAAAAAAGTCCTAAACAGCTCTAAATAAATATGCGTGTGGATTGTGATGTGAGAGGACAACAGGAGGACAACATTTAAAGTTAAAATCCCTTAATGATGGCTTTGTCACTTACAAACACTTCACAAGACATGAATTGATGTGTGAATTACTGGTGGATTATAATGACGTTTTTATGAGCTGTTTGGTTTCTCATTTTGACGGCACCCATTCACTGCAGAGGATCCATTGGTGAGCAAGTGATGTAATGCTACATTTCTTTAAAAAAATTGGACTTTGTAATATTTAATCAAAATGTCATAACTGGATTGTTTCAGTTGGTTTAAGCTCTGCCTCCACTTTTGAGTGCAACACCAACATCTCAACATCCAATCAACAACAACCCATGCAGGGAATCACCCTTTTTTCTTTTTCGATGAGTCATTACATTCAGCTGTTCCGTCACTATAATACAAAAGATCAGTCTCTACTTCCATTTCATCGCAAATTAAATAAACGTGCATGAAGAACAAAATCCTGTCAGATTCATATTCTCACTCACTTCCTTCCTTCCTTTCTCTCCTGTAGGTGTGTTGTCTGGCCATGACAACAGGGTGAGCTGCACCGGAGTACCACCAGATGGCATGTGTGTTTGCACTGGCTCATGGGACAGCTTCTTGAAGATTTGGAACTGAGTTGGACCCTGAAAGAAGATGAGATGGGAATGAGAATGAGAATGAGATTGAGACTGAGAAAGAGAAAGAAAGGTTGAGAGAGAGAATGAGAAATTATCGATTTCTGAGCAACAAAGAATCTCACACACACACACACACACACACGCACACAAACAAACACATAAAGGTCCACCTGTATGTGTGGGATTTCTGGAAGACTGGATTTCATTAGAATATATAATATGCAATATTTAAATGTAAACATGTAAGTTGCAATTAACACAGGATTGCATTATCACAACATGACAATCTCATGACGATACTTTGACTTGAAATTATGATTTTGACAGCACGATCATTTAAGAATTTAAAATATAGTATTACATATTTTTTTGTCCATTAAAAATCCTTATCATTAGATGAAAGTTTGGATGAATATTTTTATTTATTAGAAATGACGATAGAATGCAGAAGAAATTGTACAATGACTTTTCCCAACAACCACACTGTCTGTCTGAGATCTGATATTACGGCTCTTTGATGATGTTGGCATACAGGTGCATTTTCATTTTAATGAACAAACGTCCTAAAGCCCTCAAAATAACATGTTATGCTAAAAGATAAAATGTCTGTATTTACTTCTTTCATCTTTTCGTAGGACTTTTACATACAAGACAGTTCTTCTTTAATATTTCAGTGGTTACTTGAATAACTTTCTAATAAACATAGTGTTCTGCATTAAACTATAGTTTAATGTGTGCTGTGTGTATCTGTTAAGTTGTGTGTTTTATAATTGTAGGGCATTTGAATTAATTTATGAGAGAAAGAAATATTATAAGAGACAGAAATATTATTGGGGATATAATATAATCTCTGAAAGGCTAATTAGGTCACAAAACTGTGCTTTTGGAAATTTTAACAGCAGAATACCTTTATAATAGGAAGAAAGCAAGAAGTTTAAAGGGGTCATATGATGCTGCTAAAAAGAACATTATTTTGTGTATTTGGTGTAATGAAATGTGTTTATGCGGTTTAAGTTTAAAAAACACATTATTTTCCACATACTGTACATTATTGTTTCTCCTCTATGCCCCGCCTTTCTGAAATGCGTCGATTTTTACAAAGCTCATCGGTCTGAAAAGCGAAGTGTGCTCTGATTGGCCAGCTATCCAGTGCATTGTGATTGGCCGAATACCTCAAGCGTGTGACGGAAATGTTACGTCCCTCACCATACTGTGATGATGCCCTGTCCGGCCGGAGCGACGAGACAAACACATTAAAACCCATTACAAACGAGGCATTTGTTGCATCCAGTGGTGACATAATTACTGATTATAATACTGTCTTTTTACGCCTTTCTTTGCGTGAACATTTGGGCGGCGATATGCAAATCTTCCCACATAGTGAGGTAGATATGTGGGGGCGTGTTAGAAAGAATATCTCTTTGGATTTGAGACTTTAGTCTTTGCAACTTTACAGATCTTCTTTATGCACCAAGAGCTTGTAACACTCCAAAGAGAAAGGAAAAATTGAAATCGCATCATATGACCCCTTTAAGTTGAATCTAGATTTATTCACACCAACCTTTGAAAACCTGTATGTGAAACACACTTGCCCCGAAAAAAGTGCGAGGGACGAATTTAAGTGTTATTAAAAGCGTATTCTATGACGGAAATGTTACGTCCCTCACCATACTGTGATGATGCCCTGTCCGGCCGGAGCGACGAGACAAACACATTAAAACCCATTACAAACGAGGCATTTGTTGCATCCAGTGGTGACATAATTACAGATTATAATACTGTCTTTTTACGCCTTTCTTTGCGTGAACATTTGGGCGGCGTTATGCAAATCTTCCCACATAGTGAGGTAGATATGTGGGGGCGTGTTAGAAAGAATATCTCTTTGGATTTGAGACTTTAGTCTTTGCAACTTTACAGATCTTCTTTATGCACCAAGAGCTTGTAACACTCCAAAGAGCAAGGAAAAATTGAAATGGCATCATATGACCCCTTTAAAGCTATGTGTATGTGACTGTTTAGACATCCAAGTAAGAATTGTTGTTCATGGTTAATTAACTATATAAAAAAAAGGTCAAATTACGCACATCCAAAGCATCTTGGCCAGGTGCGAGATCAAAAAATACATGACATAATACAAAAAAGATCTGCACACTGTTATTCTCCCTTTGACCAAAATGTTGCCACTTTGAACTTTTAAATGAAGGGAGAATAACAGTGTGCAGATCTTTTTTGAATTATTTCATGGTAAGTCTCTCAAGTCAGAGGCGTTTAGTTCTGTTGTGAAGTCACATTGTAAACCTAATTCCTTTAAGTGTATTATCACCTCTTGCAATCTCGTTCACCTTGAGAAAGTAGATCAGGCAGTTGTGTTTTCTTTCACTTAAGAAGGAGGACGTGAGACTTACTCTAATCCACTTTCAATAGAGCTTTTTCCAGACAAGTAATTGACTAAAGTTCCTATTCTTGATGAAGTCTGGGGTTCTGATGACTTTGGCTGTGAAATGAGAAAGTAGGCTTAATAAATGACAAAAAAAACCTGTTTCAGAACAATAGGCCTATGCATTGTAAAAAGTGCATTACAAAATCAACTGCACTGAATACCAGCTTATAATATAATCACCATAATATAGACACACATGGAGTGCAACAGCATTCGGAATGCCTAGAAACCTCCTTACATTGCAAATAATTTATTATTTAATATTAAAAATGATTATAAGGACTTGATTTCATATCTAGGGAACGCTGTTTACTTTAAATTGACATTAAAAATGTAAATAAATAAAGGACATTCTGCAAATGCCACTGACCTTGTGAACTCTTTTGTATAAAAGGCCATATTACTTGCTTCAGCTGAAGTACAGAATGTTCTTTGGATAACACAGATAATGTAATTTGTTTTGTAAATGCAAAATAGAAGCGATTTCATTCCATTTCTCATGCTTCTGGGCCTCGTTGTAAATAACAGTCCTTCGATGCAGCTTATATAGTAAACCGATTTCAAGAAATTTGACTGCTCAGTATTCCTAAAGTCTAGCTTATGAAGATTAATTATTGTTATTAAATAAGCTTACGTCCCATGGAGTTTATTTCCTTGCGAAAGCTGAGCGCTTGAACGTTAATTAGATTGGGCTGACGTTGCGTCAATGAAGAAGCCTTACCTCATGAATATTAATTAGAACGTCATGACGTTTCTTGCAATCTTCCAATGCCAAAGCGCTTCCTCCTGAATATTAACAACCTAGCCTTCTCCGTAGTAGGACTCGTACGTTGTTTAACGGGAGCGATTATATGGTATACCGCAGTCGTTGTGTTTGGTTCGCTCGGTTTGTCGCGCAAAAATGTCCTCAAGAAAATTCTTCGTCGGAGGAAACTGGAAAATGAACGGCGATAAAGAGAGTTTGGGCGAGCTCATAATGACCTTGAACACGGCCAGTCTCAACGATGAAACAGGTCCATGGCGTTCATTTGATGGATACGTTGTTTACCTGAAAGAATATTAATATTATTTTTCAATTCCACAGACTAGTCGGATGTATTTAGCATATATAGCTAATCGACAGCGTTGTTTAGAAGCTACCCGACATCACCTGACACTTTAAATTGCTTTAAATCGCATGTTTGAACTGCTTTTACATAAAAATAACGTTAAAACGTAAAATATAAAACTAGTTTATTTTGTTATACAGTTTATTTTCTTATATTATTGCATGTCATTACAGTCATGTATTATTTTTCATAAGAAACAGACATTTTTTTCATAGGCATAGAAAGCTTCATTATTAATTTATCATATTTGGTCCCACATATTCTATATTTGTCACCAGTGTTGGGGAAAGTTACTTTTAAAAGTAATGCGTTACGATATTGCGTTACTCCATAAAAAAGTAACTAATTTCGTTACTTTTTATGGAAAGGAATGCGTTACGTTACTTTTGCGTTACTTTTTAAATCTGGACAGGGCTTGCTTGTTTGTTTTTAAAATAAAAAAGTTCTATTTTTGGCAAATATATAAAAGCCTTTTCACACCAAACGTGAAATGAATCAGCCTCAGGCTGAAGGGAAAGTACATTTACATCCGTACAGTAGAATGCAGAAGAAGACACTTCAACACACTTCAGCAATAAACAAAGACACACAAATGTTTGTCTAGAGTAATTTTTGTTTATTAGTACGGTTTAATTGGATCATCGAAGGTCAGAAGCAAATAGAATGGGATTAAATACATAAAGGATATTTGTGTTGCTTAACATTTAATTATTGCAGGTTTGCGTCATATTCTGAGTTGCATTCCTTTTATTCATTTTGAGGAATACTGAATCTGTGTTTTTTGTGAGTGTGATGAATTAATGCATATTCATATTTATTTTAGAACTACAGTAGCATCTTCTGATTTCTGTCACCATGGCGACACCAAAGCTGTCAATCAATAAATTGATAAAAAAAGTAACTTGCATTACTTATTTGAAAAAGTGACTTGAAGAAAAGATATTCTCTTGTAAATTAAAAAGTAATGCGTTACTTTACTAGTTACTTGAAAAAAGTAATCTGATTACGTAACTCGCGTTACTTGTAATGCGTTTTCTCCAACACTGTTTGTCACATATGCCTAAAAATTACATAAGAATACAACTTACTAGTTAAATAAGTAGCCACATGATATTTGCCCTATCCCATATTTGTCTCATGTGCACATAATTAATTGTTAGCCAAATTATTGTTTCCCATTCTACCTGGGGGGGGGGAATCTAATAAATTCAGAAGAAATAAAGAATATTGCACACACACACACAAAAAAGTTAATAATAGTAACTTTTCATAAGAAATACAGATATTTCTGCATAGGCCTGCTGTAGAAAGCTTTATAATTAATTTACAATTTGTGGTCCTATAGATTCTGTATTTGTCTTACCATACATCCCATATTTGTCCCATACGCATGGAAAATATAACTAGTTTTTAGCTAAATAATTGTTAGCCAAATTATATTTGCCCTATCCCAATTTTTGTCCCATATGCATAAAATATTTGTTAG